AAAGCGCCTCAGGAAAAGATACGCATGTAAAATATAACTTCAAACTTGTCTTCTTGGGACTTTTAGCCTTTTCTCTAATTTCCTCTTGACTGAGACTTGTGTTTTGCCTTGCACTCAAGCCAACAGCCCTCCTGTCTCTGGCGCCTCGGGAGTGGTGGGATGTCTTTCTGAGTGGTCCACGGTGAGCAGGAGAGGCAGGGAGGTGAAAACATGAAGGCTATTTCATTACTTGGAGCTGAACAAGGTTCATCAGAGCTGGAGGACAGACACAACTACAAAATCTGCAGGCCAGCAGAGGTGGAGGGTCGTGAGTCTGCAGCTGCAAGACGCAAGCCAGCTCCCTCTTGCATTGGGATGTCGGGTGAGAAATAATTTGGGGAGCTTGGCTGACCAAGCCTGCCCTTCTGTACCCGGGATGTGCTGGAACAGCAGCAACAGGGCTCCTGTTTGTAATAGAAGGCACAACTTTGACGTGCCACCGCATCGCAGCCAATTCCTCAGTGTTTTGCCCAGAAGACGAAGTGAGGCTGAGCGTGGTTGGGCACAGGGGAAATGTGCTCTAAGGTCTGGGGAGAATAGAAAGCAGCAGTTGGGTGTGAGTCTGTGTAGAGGAGGAAGTGGATAAGGATCTGCAGAGCAAAAATCTGACGTGTTTTGCATATGCAAATGGTGCTGAGGCCCTTCTGGAGAGCTCTGCAGAGAAAAGGCATCCAGCTCAGGGATGCAGCGTGCCATGAACCGGCAGGATTTTGCTCGTATGAATCCAGGCATGGGCCAGGATGCAGCAGATCCCTTGAGAACTGTCAGCCCAGGACTTATTCTCCACCTACAAAGTGGTACCTTAGTCGAGAGTGCCCTCCCAGCCTTTACTGGGGACACTGGGTTTGATGGGGAATAAAAGCCCTCATCGGTCATCATACTGTGGAGTTTCTAGATGTCCCTGAAATCCCTTTTTCTCTCAGTGAGGACAAGCTTAAACTTGTGGTGTTCCAGGTATATGGGGAGATTAAAAGACAGAGCAACCTACTAAGAGGATACGTGGACAAACAACCTCCTCACACCTCCCCCTGCCTTTCCCCCGCCGCCCTCGGGCTTTGAGCCCAGTCCTTCTATGGGAATCCAGGGAGAACTTGCTGAGGACACAACCTCCACCCTGCTCTCCCTGGATCGCCTTTGAGAAGCGATGTGGAGGTGCTGGGTGGGCAGAAAATGAGGTCTGGTGAAGGATGAAAGGACGCCAGGCCGAGGGTTGAGTGATGAAGAAAAAGCATCCCTGGACCACCGCCTTCCCAGCACCATCTCGTGGCCATCTGGGGAAGCAGGAAAGGAGGGGAAAAAAAGCACCAGGAGGCAGAAAAGAACTTCGAAAGGGATTTTTCTTTTCCTTCCCTTCTTTCCCAGGAGGAGTCAGCAAGAAAGATTTGCCATGAACCATCCTTCCCCTCAGCCGCCCACCCAGCAGCTGCTTTTCCAAAGGAGGAACAGGATGGACGCCGTGAGCATCGCTAAAGGAAAAAACTCAGCAGGACACACTCACCTCTTCACTGTTCAGGGAGAGCAGATGGACAAGGAAAGCAAGAGAAAGAAAGGGGAAAGAGGAGAAAAAGGCAGTTAGCATCCTTATTGGAAACAAGCAGAAGAATCTTAACAAGCATAAAAAGTTGGCTGTTGAACAAGAGCTTTTAAACGCCAACAACATATTAGAGACAGAAAAATGGGAACTTACTCAGACATCTTGCTTTAGATGGTTGCGAGCCTGCGACCAAAACCAAGAAAAAAGGTTCACAATTATTCACGCTGGTGGTGGCTTATGGGGGTTAAAACAAAGCAAGATTCCACTTAAAAAAAAACATAATAAAAGAGGAATAGGTTTGCTCTTATTTTACAACTTCTCCCAAATTTTCACTAGATAGGGAAGGAGGCTGCAGTTTGTGGATGAAAGCCAAACATGCGCCCACTCACAGCCACACAAACCTCAATATCAGGGGACTTCTGGACTGGACCAAATGGTGCTGGTCCAGAAAAAGAGAGATTTGTGACAGCAGCTCCTGCAGGCACGTCTCTTGGTTGACACCCACCCCCCCACTGCAAACCACTTGATGCAACGAAGGAGGAAGAGGAAAAATCTATTTTCAGTTCATGGCTTCACTTCACCACGGAGTCTCCCCCCATGTCATGATCAAGAAATGTCCCAGAGCCTGCGGAGGGTTGGCAGTGACACCAGGTGCCAAAGAAGGACTTCAGAGGACGCGGCTGCCAGTATCTGTGCTCAGGGCAGGGGACTCCTGTCACAACAACCACCTCTGTGCAGACAACGTATAACAGGGTTGAAAATGATTGTTGGTAAAGGCACATAGTGTTTCTCCTGACAAATCCTTTCAGTGGAAATTTTACAGGTGCAGCACAGCATATCTTGGGAAAGAAGAGATGGAAGAGCACCTTTGTTTTGCTGTAATTTCCCCACAAATAGAATTTTATTCTTCTAGTAGAGCAATCCCTCTAATTTCCTTATGAATAGAATTTTATTCTTCTAGCAGAGCAATACCTCTAATTTCCCCATGAATAGAATTTTATTCTTCTAGCAGAGCAATACCTCTCTCCTTCTTGTATCTCCCAACGGAAAGATGCAGGAGTGTTGGCCGAACCCAAACTAAGCTAGACCTTCAAAAAGCAGGCAAGCTCCCCAAAAGCAGCCATTGGCAGACCTGGGAGGTTCTGTCAGGAGGTGAAGCATTAACGGCGGGACTCATGCCCGGCAAAGGAGGCACAGCTTGCAGGGCCAAGGAAACTTTATCCTGGAAAATGTGCAGGCCCATCACATTGCTTTTGGGAGGATGGACGAGGAGGGTGGAGGGGGGGGAGGAAAAGTGCTTCTAAAAATGGCCAGTGAGCTGCAGAAGGAGCTGCAGCTGTCTCCTCGGACGGCAGCCTTTCCTCGGTGCCAGCCCCCCGCGACTCGGGGAGGTCGGGGCGATGCGACGCAAA